TGCTAATCTTACCTTTGTCTAGTTTTTTTTTTGTTACAGGAAAATCCTCCTTACTCTCTCGCAAGTCTAAGGCAGTGTCTTTTGTTTTTATGTCTAGTTATTTGTTGTACCTTCTAAAAAATATCTTTTTTATAAGTCTTGTTGCATAATTTCTTTTGTGAAGCAAACCAACCAAAAGGGAGAGAATAGAAAGCAAAGGATTTTTCTTGGAGAAAGGGAAAGCAGAAGACCCAAGTAAGCATGCACGTAATTTGTTTTGGGAGAATTACAGTGCAGTGGAAATAAGAAAAAAATTACAAAAATATATAGGGTGTAAGTAATTCTGTAAAATTACAAAAATTTATAAAGTGTAAGTGATTCTGTGATGAAGTGTAAGTAAAATGTTGTGGGGCATCTTTTTATATTTGTGTAAAAAAAAAAAAATTCGACTCATAAAAATGTAATTCTTTCTTCTATTTTTATTTTTATAATCATTATTTTTTTGTTCTGGCGTGCGAAAGAAAGAAAGAAAAATGAGAGAGTTGGTTCATGTTTATGATTGAAGGGTGAATGGCATGGCTCATGCTGATGCTAGCACACAACTCCCTAGAAGACAATTATTTGTTGGGTGCTTCTAGAGTGTGTCTACGCATGATTGGGGATGCTAATACACAACTCTCCATAAAGGCAAATTATTGATGTCGTATAATTTTTAATACAAAAATATTTATTTATCGAATTTGAGTTTTGTCTGAATCGTTTGAATTTGTACATATCGGACGATCATCTGGACGATCAGTGCAACCTTTATCAACTGCGGTTATCACCCTTGTTGCCGTATGATTGGCCAGACGACCAGCATGCACAAATTCAAGTAATTTGAAGAAGTCAAAACTCGATAGATGTATCATTGAACTTTTTAATAATAACATAATAATTCAATTTATTTATTTTTTATAAGAATTTGATTTTTTTCAAATTGATTATTCAACTTAAGACGTTTGAAGTTGATAAGCTCATTTTAAAACTGATTTTGGCCCCATTGTTTTTAGCCTATAAAACGGGAGAACTCATTTGTCTAAATCATCCAAGTAAATACAGGCTCCAAGTAAATACAGGCTCTTTTACATTCTCACTTTTATTTGCCCAAATCATCTGAGTAAATAAAAGTTCTCTTACATTCTCTCAAAGTAAGGGTTTAGGAGTTTAGGAGGTGTTTAGAGTTTAAAAGGGATTTGGTTTTTAGGAATTTAAGGTTTAGAAGGTGCTTTGAATTAGTAATTGTTCAGAGTTTCGAGAGCTATGATTGTGATAAAAACTATTGGTAAATAAGAAAAATAAATTGTGCAAAATGAATTTTTTTATTATAGAAAAGACAGATTAATCGTTATAAAAAAAAATAAAAAATTTGGTATAGATATATTAGAAAGAAATTTAATAAATCCACTAAAAATAAAAATTCTCTATGTCCAAAAAGAAAATCTTTTGAAGAATGTAAATGATGACTGTTTTTTGGTTAATTAATTGAAGTTCCTGTCAAATTCTCATTCAACTTTTCGTAGATGTTTTCTGGAATGCCATTTTAAAGATTTCAAAATTGGTTTCGGGTATACATCCGAAATTATCTCCTGGAATTGTTGAACCGACAGATTTTTGTGAACATCTATTACTTGTGGGCAAATACTACATTATCTTCAGCGAGTCTATTGGCTTCCCAATAGACGTATAGACGCAGTTCTCACATTCATATTGGATATTGTTCTACAAATTTCTTCAAAAGCATTTCCCAATGTTTTGCTGTCCACTTCCTTCATTTTATATGGGTATGTTTGTACCGAAAATGACATTTGGTGACACAAAGCATGTAATTTTAGCAAGTCCCAAATGGTGAGAGATTTGGGATTCTCGAATGGGTGTGATGCAATCATGATGTGATTTGGTGATTAAATCACTACAGAGTTGAGATTCATTTCTCTTTCTTCTTATTTATGTATATCTTAATTAATATATGTTACTAGATAATGAATGAGGAGAACAGATGGCAGCAATCCAAGAGGTTTCATATTCACTACCTAAAGCAATCCAACAACAGTGAGAGTTTAAATGTGCTCAACAGCTCCTACAAAGGAGGCGTGTGTTGACCAAATAAGGACACTTGTCATCCATCCAAGATCCCCACCCACTATCTAACGGCTCATGTTTTCAAAAGGATTTAGTTAGCCCTATCTTTGAGAAACAAACCAACCACTTGCATGGAAGGAGAAGACTATTGGGACAAAAGTCAGTTCAGGAGGTTGTCCAGTACCCCGCTTTCAAGATTTTATAGAGATTTTCAGGAGATTGTTTCAAATTTTCAGGAGGTAGACAAATTTTTTTAGGAGGACTTGACTGCTATAAATACAAAAAATGAAGATGGAACAAATCCCAATTAATACAACATTCAACACAACTTAATACATAGCCCAGTCCTTAGTTTGATCCTAGTTCAACTTAGCAGTAGACTTAACAACCATCTTTGCCATAATTTTAGCCTTAGATCATGACTTATGTGTCAAATTAGTTGTTTTTTGACCTTCATAGGCATTGTTTTGGAACTTAAATTGTGTTGCAATTCCATTTTATAACTCATTCTTATGCTTTTGTAATTTTCAATCCATTGAACTTATAAAAATATGTGTTTTGATGTTTATGTCCCTTTATTTATCTCTCATTTTTACATTAAAAATTCCTTAGAGATTTTAAGTCCTCTTAATTGTGGCAAAACAAGAATCATGAGGCATTTTATCCATTTGAGGCTCACACAACCTCCACAACCTCCTGTTTTCAGAAGTCAGATTTTTTTTGAGTACATTTCAACAATTAGGCATTGTTGTCTTGGCACGCCCGCAAATCACGTAAACCTCATGATTTTAGAGGAAACTTGTGTTTTAGTCAAATTTTTTTATTTTTTTAATTTTTTTGCACAAACGAGGTTAAATTGCATAGCTACGGTTCTTACGTCCTTATTCATAGTAGTTTCATAACCTTTACACTTTCGGTATAATAATTCTCATTTTACAATATGCTTATAAGTATAATATGTGTAATTATATATACATATATGATGATTCAATTAATATTTGCAAAAAGTACTAGTAAGAATATTTCCCTTATCTCGTGCATTGTACAAGTCATCTATTAATACTATACTTATCGCATCTTATTTATTATATAATCTAATACACTCATAATAGTTTAATATTAAAAAAATTTATATAAGATCTATTGTACTTATACAACATCTATTGTACTTGAAATTGATGTAAATGCGTCACATTAACTTATAAAGAGTATATGATTACCTACCTTACTATTATTGCACATCAAATAATACAAAAATATAATTTTAACATCACAAATTTTTTGGCAAGAGCCAGAGTCAGACTCAGCAAATGGCAGGAAAATAGAGAGGAACCAAAGTGTTTTTTTTTTTAATAAGCCCTGATGGAAGAGTCATAACCACCGTTCATATTTTAAAATTTTATGTTGTTATGATAGAACACCACGCCCATTCTATTTTCTGAAATTATACTAACCTCTCCCCTAATAGATAGCACCATTTAATGTAATAGTGAGTTTACCATTGTGCCCCATCATCTCTTTCTCTCTATGCTTTTCTCTCCAATACAACAACTACGTTCATCTCCACCTCCACTCCCCCACCTCCAACTCATCTCCATCAATTCTTACTCTCTTTCTGTCTTCCTCCAAAAATGTAAAAAGAACGAAGTTGATTTGTGTCAACAGATGACATAGAGGATTACAACTGTCAAAAACATTTCCATTGATGCAGCAAAGATCAAAGAAGTAAACCTATGTCATCTCCTTAGCATCAAACAAACCAGAGCTTATTAAGTGGCAACAAGACAAGGCCATAACAGAAACAATCAACCAAGTTTAACAATTCTTACATAACATTTGTAGTTAGTCAACCTTTGGCATTTCATTACAAAGTCTGAATCAATGAGGTGTTTTGAATTTGGTAACGCTCCCTCAACATTCAAATTCTTATGGTTGATTAGTGTTGTTTCAATGGATACATATGTATATATTTGCCATTAATGTCATATCTAAAGTCAAAATAATTGAATTGGTACAAAAGGCTGAGTTGAATTGGTGAGAGGTAATGCCTAAATCTAATTGGATGATTGAACACACAGTAGTTTGTATGCTTACATACATATATATACATACTATAAATGTTATCTATAAAATAAAAATAATTGAAAAAGGGATTAACTAAATTTTGTCATCTCTCTCTCCAATAGAGTAAGGAGAGATGGAAAGAAAAAAAATACCCATCTACTATAACCCATGTGCTATTACCATTTCCCCGCCACATCTCCTTTATCTTCGCCACCACCGTAGACCTCATCATTCTGAACGCCAATAGTTGTCGCTCTCAACTAAATCGTTGTCTTTTTTTACTCCTCAATTCCTATTGCAACTAAAATAACGTGTAGCAGTGGGTCTAAATAATCTTCTAGACTTTGATATTTCTTATTGTGTTTTTCAGTTTCTTTTGAAAAGCATTGTGAGACGGTTTGAATTGGTTTTGGATTGAACCTGATGGGTGAATTAGTGAGGGAAATTGGATCAATTAGAAGGGTAATTTTGGCAATTCCAAGTTTTATTTATGTTGATAGATATCATCTTTTTTTCTTTTCTTTTTGGAAAATAAGTGAGAGCATTAATTAGTGCTATCACTAATGATGTGGTAGTGGGTCTCATCAAGAATGATTTGATGTTTTGACCTTATTGTTATATATATATATATATTTTTTTTATTGAGTATTATGTCATTAGTGATCTTTTTAAAATTTAAAATTAGTGATCTCTATCGTTGTTGTTTCTTTTTTCTATGTTCTTTGGGAAACTAATAGTCTATTGACAGATGGACCTAATTGACACTTTATGGAGTAAGGGAGCAGTGATATTTGAGAGAATGTTAGAATATAATATACCTTTTAAAGGTTACAAAGGGACTCCCTCAATGTGAAACCGTCTTTAGGATTCTGTACTGCCCTTTTTTGTCATCATATTATTTTTTAAATCTAGCTTTGCGCAAAGCAAAGAATCTTTTGTCCCCACTTCTCAATCTCTATCCATCTATTCAGATCCTCCGCCTCCTCCTCCTCCGCCTCCTCCTGCGCCTTGTAATACCCAACAAAAACACATCTCAATTCCACCAAGCTGTGTGTGTGTGTGTGGTGTGATTTTAAGCAGAGGAGAAGGATGGGTGCGGAGGAGGAGGAGGTGGAGAAAAAACATGCTCTGATATTCACGTACGGGACGTTGAAGAAGGGGTTCTCGAATCACGGACTTCTCCAGGAAATGATGGAAGCAGGGGAGGCTAAATACCTGGGAGTATACAGAACCGTGGAGAAGTTGCCGCTGGTGTGCGGTCCATACAGGGTTCCATTCTTGCTAAACTTCCCTGGATCTGGAGACCATGTGTTGGGGGAGCTCTATTCCATCTCTGCAGATCGGGCACTCATCCGCATGGACGACTTGGAGGGTACGAGCCGCGGCCACTACGAGAGGCTCCCTGTGAAGCTGGTTGGAGATGAAGATGGAGATGGAGATGGAGATGATGATGGTGATCGTGAGGTAATAAGGTGGGCGGAGGCGTATTACGCACACAGGAGTTATGCGGAGGGGATGTGGGAGAGAAACAGAGACAAGGAGGAGGGATACTTTAGTAATTACACGGACAAACAGGCCAAAGGATACGTGCATCGCAAAGATAGGCCTCAACACCTCTCTTTCTTGGATCATATTCGACTGTTCCTCTCCTTCTCCACTGATTGAAATCTTTTGTAAATATATAATAATCATGCTGCTGCTGCTGCTGCTGCTTCTTTTTCTGCTGATGTTGTTTTTCCAGCTAAAAGTTGAACTGAATCAAAATTTTTGATCGGAAAGGATCATTAAATGAAAGAATTTTATCGGTAAGAATCTTTGAAAAAAGTCAACTGTCAATAAAAATCTTTCCTTTAATATCTTTTCCAATCAAAATTTTCTATTTAATAACTCTTTCCGATCAAAAATCTCAATTTTTTGATCTAATTAAAATTTTAATCAGAGATAAGTCACAGTATCCATGTTGCTGTGTACTACTTGTACTGATTCATTATGAAAGTCCTTTGATTCATTCTCTCTGCACACTTTGATCCTTTTTTATTTATTTGTTATTTTCCAATCATTTTTGTTTCTCTCGTCAGCCTCTCTTTTTAATTTTTTTTTATACTATTGGAATAAAATTTAGAATCTTTTAATAATGTTAAAATAATCACATTTATCAATCATATTTTATTTATCATATGTTTTAAAGTTGTTGAGACAGATTATTGTACATTCTCATATTCACTTTATAATTAAAAAAAATGATATAATTTTAAATTTTTTGAGTCATAATTAAAAGATAATATATAAAAAATTTATAACCAAACATTAGATAACACAAAATCAAAGTTGTTATAAGTCATAACTAAAATATTATTATAACTAAAAAATAGAATTAGTTATAACTAAAAAAGAAAATGACATAATTACGGGTGCATATAGTACACTCCTTTTAAGGAGTATGTGTAGTACAATTTTCCAAGGCTATTTTGATCTATCACTTATCAATTATTAATCTAACAATTTGACACATAAGATAATAATAAAAATATGATAAATAAATGTAGTTATTCTAGCCATGATAATTCGATGTTGTCATCCTAGCATTTAGGGATGCGTGTGGTGGTGCGATTCAACGTGGTTTGAATGTAAAATTATAAACCAAACTATAAATGATAGATTGACAAATAACCAAATCGTTTGCTAGTTGATTGAAAAATAATCGTAAACAATTATCAAGCATTTAAATAACATATAATACTAATTTACGACAAATTATACATCCTAAATCTCTTTCACATCGATTTTTAATATTAACTAAAGCGGAGCGATTTCAAAAGCATATTATAAATTTCAAATTGCAGTTCAATCCAAGCCGCAATTAGTAGGTGGATTAGTGTGGATTCAAAAGATCGATATAGATTAAGCGCTATTTTGCACAACTCTACTAGCATTGATAATTTTTGGATTAATTCGTATGCTATTTTTGTCATTTTTGTCTCTAATATTTAAATTATGTCAATTTAATTCACATTGTATAATTAAAGGACTAAAATGAGACAAAACTCATAGTGTGGGATAGAAGGCTCTTCCAATCCAAATGCAAGAAGGCTTGAATTCCATGCTGCCACATTCTAATTGCTTTTATTAAAGGTTTGAGAGTAAGTAAATTGTACTTTAGATGCACCAAAACTACAAAGTTTCATGAACCTCATAGAAATACAGTTCTTTTTATCAAAATAAAAATTTTAAAAATAGAAATACAGTTGTTAATTACATTTATCAATCATATTTTATTTATCATATGTTTTAAAGTTGTTGAAAAAGATTATTGTACATCCTCATATTCACTTTATAATTAAAAAAAATGATATAATTTTAAATTTTTTGAGTCATAATTAAAAGATAATATATAAAAATAACACAAAATCAAAGGTGCTATAAGTCATAATTAAAATATTATTATAACTAAAAAATAGAATTAGTCATAATTAAAAAGAAAAATGACATAATTACTACACTCCTTTTAAGGAGTATGTGCAGTAGAATTTTCCGAAATTATTTTGGTCTATCACTTATCAATTTGACAAATAAGATAATAATAAAAATATGATAAATAAATGTAGTTATTCTAGCCGTGATAATTCGATGTTGTCATCCTAACATTTAGGGATGCGTGTGGTGGTGCGATTCAATGTGGTTTGAATGTAAAATAATAAACCAAACTATAAACGACAGGTTGACAAATAACCAAACCGTTTGTTAGTTGATTGAAAAATAATCGTAAACAATTATCAAGCATTTAAATAACATATAATACTAATTTACAACAAATTATACATCCTAAATCTCTTTCACATCAATTTTTATTTTGATGTTTTATTAGAAGTAATATTAACTACTGCGGAGCGGTTTCAAAAACATATTATAAATTTCAAATCGCAGTTCAATCTAAGCAGCAATTAGCAGGTGGATTAGTGTGGATTTAGAAGATCGATATAGATTGAACACTATTTTACACAACTCTACTAGCATTGATAATTTTTGGATTAATTACATTTTGAATCTCCAAAGTATGCTATTTTTGTCATTTTTGTCTCTAATATTTAAATTATGTCAATTTAATTCACATTGTATAATTAAAGAACTAAAATGAGACAAAACTCATAATTACAAATGAAATTAACTAACGGTATTTTAGTTGATTATTAAAAAAATTCAACTGACATAGTGTGGGATAGAAGGCTCTTCCAATCCAAATGCAAGAAGGCTTGAATTCCATGCTGCCACATTCTAATTGCTTTTATTAAAGGTTTGAGAGTAAGTAAATTGTACTTTAGATGCACCAAAACTACAAAGTTTCATGAACCTCATAGAAATACAGTTCTTTTTATCAAAATAAAAATTTTAAAAATAGAAATACAGTTGTTATTCACACACACCTTGAGCTTTAGGCCTAGGGTCTTGTCGGGTTTTTGCTTTGTTTCAATTCCAACCCATCCAAAGTGATATTTTCATTCTTAAAAAACAAAAAAGGAAAGAACAAAAAAAAGTTTATAGTTACTTTCTCAAGTCAAGTGTAACTGTATAAAACATCTACATGCTACTAGTATCTTCAAATTTTAAGGAGTATAATGGACAATCTTAATATTTTAGAAACATCCTTACTCTCAAAAGCTTAAACCATGATAACTAGGGGGCTGGCGGCATACTTTATTCCACATGATTTTTCCAGCGATGATTCTTATAAAAATCAATTGAAATGATTGTGGCACGAAATGTACTTCTATAATAATAGTATAAGAAATGTAAAAAATAATTGTGTGAGACAGATGCAACTTTTACATAAAGCATAATTTATTCAATAACTCTTGACTATGTTCTTTTAACAAAATAACTAACTGATGATTTTACCAAGTTCTTTCTTGGGAAAATGGTATCCCAACTCTAACCCATCAGGCAAAAAATATATTATTATTATTATTATTATTGAATCCAAGGGTTATATAACCAAACCAACTACATATATTTATAGAGATGACGATGAGTTTGGTATTGCCGCCTCAGATTTGATGTGAAAAATCTGGGATGATCAGAATAAGAGAACATTCATTTGTAAGAAGAGACTATTCGGAGAATTAAAAGTTTTGGCTTTTGGAGACATCAGATCAGGTTTTGATGTATAATTTGTTTTCGGCCTTCTTGTAAATGAAATTATATCATTACTTATCAAAACAACATGTGTTAGGGTATAGATAATAGAACTATAGTACACATTACATAGTGTTGCTGCGAGCGACGAGTCCTGGCAACATAAACATAATGATAATCACTCAGTGTACAGTTTTCATTTTTTTGTTTTAAACATAACTAGGGAGGACAACTAGGTTAATGCTAAGACGACCCGAACAATTTAGTGGAGCATTTGTCACATAATGACAACTAAAAATAATCTCAAGCCATCACAAAATCGCATTATAAATACGTCAATGCAATGAATAATGAGCCATGTAACCAAGAAATAATCATTCATGTGATTGACTTGGAATTTTGGATCAGCACTAGCTCTATTTTCAAGTTTAAACAGTTGTAGTAGGCAACTTGCTTCTGATATTTTACATGTGATATATATCTCCATACAGGTACATTTTGATACAATAGCCCTGTTGCTAATATGTAATGTGGAGTTTTTACATCCACCATTACAAGCGTGCATGTAACTAGTCAAAACAACAGGGAATGTGAAGTGCAGAAAAAAGGATAAGATACTCAGACCTTATTTATTAGGGCACTCATTGGATTCCATCAGTTGCTGTGGCCTGCAGTGGCATATAATGATTGTAAGTGGCAGAACACAATGACAATAGTCAAATTAAAATGTCCACTCTTTTGAGTAACAATACAGAGCTTAAACAAAACATTGGTAACCTCCAAATAATGCACGAGTAGAGCTTTTACGTAAAACAATTCAGATAACGTTGGTAGGCACATAATTAGAAAGGAAAATCATGCATTTTTACAAAGCAAACAAATGTGCCAATCAGTCAGCAAATAAGGAAAATATCATGCAACATATCGGAAAGTGTAGTTTTAAAAAAAAAGAAAAGAAAGTAATTTATGGTCATAATGAAGTAAACATAACAGCTTAGTGACAAATATGGAAACATTTCTAAGAGAATGAAGTATTGTTGCTTGCTCAAAATATAAGGTAAAATTCTTTCTTCTTAGTTAAGGACAAAATATGAGGTAAACATATTACTCAATTATAACAATGCCAAAAATTAGTATGGAAATATCGTTATTACTGTTTAGGATTTGAAAGAATTTTATGTGGTCTTGTACACCAATACAATTGTGGCCCCTTTACACAGCCTTAGGATTGCTAAATCTAGCACCAAAATGGAAACAGCAATAGTTGCATCTACTTACTACAACTCATACAACATTAAATCTCAATAGACATGTCATTCCACGTAACACCTATTCAAACAAGGGACACAGTGTAGTTCTTATCCATTCTTTAAGCCAAATAAGTAGGCATTCTTTAAGCTCTTTCTCTTTTGGTAACCTAATTCAAAAGAAATTCTAATCACATAATTCAATAAAGTTACATACACAAAATTTTCCCGAAAATCCAGAATGTATTTCCTTATGATGAATAGTAATTAAGTACAAAGTACAGCTCCCAGCGTGACATTAATTTTCCAGTTGCAAATTATTCCTTTTTGTGCTCAAGACATATTTCATTATAGAAGCCTTCCATATCTCCTATACACAATCTTGTGGAAGTAAAAATCAAGGACCATCAAGAACTCCAACACAATTGTAACCATTTAAAAGATTACTTGTTCAGATAGAAATGAACTGAAATTTAAAATAATGAGTGCATGGTCACCTAGAGGAAAATTTCCGACCAAAACTGTTGAATATTTCTTCCTTTTGTTGTAACAACTATCCAAGAAAATATATATATTTTTGTTATAAAAAAATAAAAATAAAAAAAGGAAAGGAAAAGAAAACAAAAGGACTTGCAATTGATAGTCGGTGGCCATATCTATCAATAAAATTGTTCACAATGTTAATTTTCATTTTTTCAAAACATAACTTAATTTAAATAGTCAGAGAGATATACCAAATTGATGAGTGACTCATACCAAGCCCATTGCAAGTAAGTATCATCCCTTTAAATCTGGTTAGATACTCCTGTATTGAAGTGGAAAGACATCCCAAATAATTAGGATGCATCACAGAAGAATCACACAAACAAAGTGAATTAAAGCAGGTTGACAAATCTAAGCCTGATGATACAATGGAAATTCTTACTCGCAAAGTGTACTTATCAATCTCATAGTTTCCAGTTATATCATATTTAAGTCGCTTGGCAGGATCACTTAACACTGCAAAAGAACCATACGCCATCAAAACTATAAATATTAGTACAGAATCTACATGAAGGGAAATAAAGAAGCTCTAAACAAAAAAGAAACAATCATTGTGAAAGGGTTAGTTTCGGTTTATGGTAATTAGTCTGAATTAAATTTTAGCAGCTTATTAATCTGAATTATCAGAAGGCAAATTCTGCTTTTAGGGACTAGTAGCTTCCACTGTGGCCCAAAATATGCTTCACCCATAAATATAACGAGCATTCAATTTATGAAACGGAGGTTAGATGTCAATAACTCAACATACCAATACAAAAAAATAAAAATAAAAACTTGAAATCCAAATACCAAATGAGCAAGGACTGTCAATTCTAGATACATGAACCAATCTTTAAAGTCTTAATGTCCATTCACCAAGCCACACATTTGAGAACTAAAAAATATGGAACTCTGAAGTGTTTATATTCCATAACCTAGCCACCAACTGAACATGGGGATTGACATAATTATAGTAAGGCCACATGCATGGTGTAAAACTGGGAATCTAGACCTTTGTGCTTTTGAAACACTACAAAAGAATTACTTACATATATATATATATATATTAATAGAATATAAAATTAAACAAATATAAAAAAAAAAAATGGACAAGAATTACCAGTGTAAGCCTCATTGATCTGTTGAAATTTTGCAGTAACAGCATTGTCACCCTTGTGTTTGTCAGGATGCCATTTCTGTTACATAATAATAGAATGCAAGACCATGTAATTTCCAATAATGTACTATAATTTAAATCAGGAAAAGTAGAAGTGCTATTAGAATATGCCATCAGTTACCAAGAAAAGATGGAAAACTAACCAGTGCCAGTTTCCTGTAATTCAACTTAATCTTCTCATCAGTTGCATCATAATCTACCTCCAAAACTTTGTAATAATCCTTCAAATGAGTAAGAATTTCCCCTCAGATATCCATCAAAGCATACCTAATAATCAAATAAAATAAATCCTACTGACCCAAAAAAAAAAAAAAAGGATTGAGCTAAAACCCAGGGTTTAGGACACAGATTTAAATATGCCATTAATATAACCAAATAACATGTATGGAAATCTTGTAACAGTAAATCTCACTTACATACAACATGTGCTATCATAAATGGGTTCTGCCAAGAGATCTTGTAAGCAACCAAATAACTTTAGGTATGTTGTTTTTATATAAAAAATTAATTATTTTTCTTTAAAATAGTCCTCAACGTGTCCTTAACGTGTCCCCAGCGTGTCTCTATGTGTCCATAGCATGTCTCTACGTGTCCGTAGCGTGTCCCAAGTGTCCAACACGTGTCCAGAGCATGCCTGGCACGTGTCCATGTCCGACATGTGTCGGACACTCGTACGGGACCTTCGAAGAGGTGTACGTGCTTCATAGATTGAAAATAGTGGATATAACATGATGTGTTTACTCACCAAACCAACATTGTTCTCAATGTTTCTCCAGTGCACGCTTTTCATTCTCTTGAATAATAACTGTAATTTTGGAGGTTTATTTTTCAAAAACATATAAAATAAAATCAAGGTTTTATTACACTTGTAACCTTTGTAGTTTGATTTAAATTTCACTTTAGTCCCTATAGTTTGTAATTGAACAATTTCGTCATTACACTTCAAGTGTAGTTTCAATTTGGTCCTTCTATCTAAATTTCTATTAATTTTGTCTTCGTGTATACCTCAAAAAATTGACAAGTGTCTCAAAATTGTTAATTTTAATCTCCAATTTGGATGAAAGGACCAAATTGAAACTAGACTTAAAAGTGCAGATGACCAAATTGTTCACATTGAAACAATAGGAACTAAAGTGAAATTTGAGTAAAACTAAAGAGGTGAAAAGTATAATTAGCCCCAAAATTAATTTAAAATGTTTTTTTCTCGAAAAATTACCACCCAAAAAAAACCTAGGGTAAAATTTTTTTTAATAAAAAGGAGGATATTTTAAAATTACATTAATAAAAAGTAAAAACTTGGGCCTAGTTTGGTTTGTGTTTCTCAAAAAATTTTGAGAAAAATTCTCTACAAATAAGTTTTCAAAAGTAGTCAAACCAAACAAATTTTCCCAAAATTTTTTTCCAAAACTTGTTTGGTTTACAAGTTTTCCAAACAAATCTCTCTCTCATACACATCAAATCAATCACTTTTTCCAAAACTCTCTCTCAAAATAATTTTTCAAAACATCTTTTGAAAAAAAACCAAACCAAACAAATTTTCGTACTTTTTATCTCAAAACATGTTTATCAAATACAAACCAAACAAGCCCTTGGTTTTTTTGTTTTTTTGTTTTTTGAAAATTCAAGGTATCTCTTGCCCAACCCAGCCCCATTGGGCCCGAGTTATCACACATCTGGATAATCAAGAAATAATTGCTGGAGGCCCTCAAGTTAACAACAGAGAAAACCTCCAGTGGCTCCTTGCAGGACTCAAAGTCGACCGGGCAAATCTAATTGATTGAGTTTCAGAACTTGTTTTCTATTTCTTTTTCTTTTTTTCTTTCGAAAAATTAGAAACTAGTTTATCAAAAAAGATATTTTGAATTTTTAAAAATTATTTATGTCCCACAAAAAGAGAAAACCATATGAAAATAATGAGTTTTTTAGGAAATTAGTTTTTGAAAAACTTCAAAAAATAGATTCTAAAACTCAACTAAATAGTTTATGTTGGTAACGCATCCCTATCCAAGTTCCTAAACATTCAACATGGCCTACCTAAGCATAAAGGAAACAATTATTAAAAGCCTCCTTTTATTCTTTTTTGCCCCTCCTCTCTCTTTCTCTTCCCTCTCCTGCCTCCACCACCGGCCACCACTCCCTCGCCCTCCCCCAACCACCCAAGCACCTCCCCCTCTATAACTAGGGGAGTAACTTGGATGGGCTCAATTTGAGCAACCCGAGCCCAACTTGAAATTTTGTAGTGCTTGGTCAACATATTTTTTAATTCAATTTAAGCATTGCAAACATTCAAAAACCTAACGGGCTTGGACAAAGATGCGAGCAATCCAAGCAACCCGAAGCCAGAATTGTATTTATATATAAAATATAAATATACTTATAAATTATTAGCTTTTGGAATGATGTAAAATAATCGGAACCATTAGAACATATGTGTTATATATATATATAGCATAATATCATATACACAGGTCACACAACACAAAACCTTACCCAATCCTTTCTCATTCGGAAATGACAAGGATCACCATAGCAGCACATCAGTTCCTCAATTTTTATTTCTCTCCTTTTTGTCTCACTTATTCTATAAATTATTTTTTATGATGTTATTAATGATTTTATTAAAAAAAAAATGTTAATAAAGTCTAACTTTTAACAAATTAATCAACCTAATTGCCAAAAAAAAAAAAAATAACCCTCAAATTTAAGGGCAATTCAAACCTAGCTCGAGTTCAATATATTATGCACAGGTTAGGTTTGGGAAAATAGGTTCAGGTTGTAAGTAGGTCTTGGACAGGCTGGTGTAGACACCCCATTTTGACCGGCCCTAAGACTTGGGCCCTTTCTTTTAATTACCCGATGATGAAAATAAGACTATGTTTCTCACATAATTCTTAGTAAGAAAAGATGAAATTTGTGCTTCATTTCTAATCCTAACCTTGTTTTGGCCAAGTGCTTAAGTTCATTTCAAAACTCTCTTTCAAAACTTTCTTTTCGCGCTTTGTTCCGAATATTTTCGTAGTGTCTCGAGATTCATTTTTAAATTTCAAAATAAGACTTTTTCTGAAAAAATTGAGCAAAGAACATTGTGGAAATAAGAGAAAAGGATAATAATTCTGTCGAAAAATCCTATTTCGAGCAAAATAGTCAGCCACGACCAACTTTTTTGGCCGGCTGGCTGGCCAGCCAGCCAAGATTTTTTGGCCGGCTAGCCAATAAATTGGCCGGCCAGCTAATTTGCCCAAAAGCAGGGTAGTTTCGGCAGAATTCCTATTGAAAGCGTGTGAGTCATGCCATTTCAGATCTTTTGTTGATACATTCACGCACGAGATACACACCCACCCCCTCCATTATCCTCTATTGTCCTCCATTGTCAAAAGGGAGATTGTTTTCTTCCCAAAAGGTGGCATCCATTTCAACCACCCTTGTCATCCCACCAACCTTGTCTCCCACCTCCTTGATTGAGCCTGCATTCATTATCTATATAGAGGGTCAGAATGTAAAGAATGGAATTTGAAAGAAAAATGAATTAAGAGAAGAGAAGAGAGATAGGGAGAAAAAGAGAGAACTTGAAGCTTTGAACCAAAACTTCCTTTTCTTCAACATACACTGATATACCAAGTTCCATATATCAAAACCATCCCAAGAATTCTGATATAGCCAAATTCTAAGAGCTTTGATTAAAAGAGAATGAGTGTTGTTAAAAAGAGAGAAAAATAGTGTTGTATAACTTCCTTCCCCCCCCCCCCCCCCCCCCCTTTGATCATAGTTATGCCCTCCCCCCCACACACTGTTAAACAACCTAAAAACACCATTCTAACAAGAATTTTGAATTTTCAAATTAAGGTTTGGGAACACACTTCCCAAACTTGAGGGTGATCAAAAGGAAGTTTAGAAATCAAGTCCTTTCTTTGAAAGGTGAATTTTGCACACTTTTCATTTTCTTGTATTTCTTGCATTTTCTTTCTTCTATTGCTTTTCTTTCTTTGATTTCATGTTATAAACCTGTTGCAAGCTAACTAGAAGTGGTTAGTTGATCCACTTGCATATTTTTCGTTTGTTTTTCTGCTGTTTGAAGCAAAACAGAGTTTTGGCCTGGCCTGGCCTGGCCTGGCCTAGCCTGATTGGCTGCAGCCTCCCGACGTTGAGCAGAACAGTCTCCGATGGTCACCGAGGCCCCCTGTAGATTCTACTTCTATTGTTTTTATTTTAATTAGAGAGAGTTTGTGAAGACATTTTGTTGTAATATTTTTATTCATTTCCTCCCTTATTCGGATTTGTAATATTCCAAAGATGTAATAATTTCCCACTCCCGTTTCTTTCTATCCCGTTCTTTTATTTGTTTTCCTTATCTGCACATATGTAATATATATGCTTGTCATCATATCCATACTTTGCATCCATGCTTCATGTCTTAAGATTCGGCTAAATTTGCATTTGTGGGTTTAATCGTTTATTATGTGATTTTGTGCGCTACCTCATGTCTTGAGATGATTCACATGTCATATAATAGAAGCCGGATCTTTAATTGCATTTCATGAGTGAATTGCATTAGGATCTTATATACAGGATCATGCATGTTTTTACTAACTTTGTTTTGTAATTGTTTGCGGGACTATATGCTTATTTGATATAACTCTATGCATGCCAGTGGTTGAAGGTTGTGTTGTTTAATTTGAAATAAACTTGATTTTCATGATTGTACTATTCAAAACATTTTCAAAATAATGAAATCAAATTGTTCCAAAATAAATGACACAGTCTATATTTATTTGCTTCATATAGTAAATTTTAGAATTTATTAATAATCAAAATATGAACATATAAAATTAATAAAAATAATATCATGGCTTAATAGAGGCCGACCTTTTGATCGGGTGAGCGGGGGTGCTCAATTAATGACCTTCCCTTCTCATACCTAAGGTTTCGAGCCAAGCATTCTTGGTTACGACAAACAGTGACCTTGGCACAAGTCACTGGTTTCCTAATTTTTCCGAAAACATTATGTGGCGACTCTGAGATCTGATGACGCAATCCATTTCTAGCAAATATTTTTGCAATAAAAATATATTTTCTATAAAGTTGCCAAATCTAGACTCTCATCTATGTTTCACATTGCACTTGTGAGACTAGATCAAAGAAATTGAGGGTTAACGCGCTAGGGAAACCCCCAGGCGATGTTACAACTAGGCTACTCTCAGTACAACTCAAGTAGATTTTGGGCAACCTCTCAACTTGATCGAACTTGCCTGAGTTGCACCCTTACCCGTCACCCCAGTAGCACATCTCCAGTACCCTATGCCAATCCCCAACCCCCATCCCAATCGACCACCCCCCACCATACCACTGTCAAATCTAACTACAACCACAACCACCATTCTCTATCACAATCACCCAATGGGAGAGAGAGAGAGAGAGAGACAGATTACATATTCAGGGGGGGGAGCAAGCAACAATAATGGAGCTACCAATGGACATGGTGGCAGGAAGGCGAAGGCGTAGTGTTGGAAGACGCAGTGATGTAGTTTAGATTGCTGCTACATACAGGGTGAGAGAGTGAGAGTATGCTTTGGTGAGATAAAAAGGAAGAGGAAGGGTGTGGGGGGTAGGTGGCTAAGGTAGGCTGGCAATGGAAAGAGAGAGAGAGGAATTTCATTTTTTGCAATTATTTTATAAATGGGCATTTATTCATAAATCTCTCTTCACCTACTTATGTTCTACATAGTCCAAATTATTTTCTTATGTTCCAATAAGTCCTATGGATGACATAGTTATCAAAATACCTCGAATAATAATATTCACATTGACAGTGTGAATATTCCGTGATGTGAATATTCACATTGTTAATGTGAATGTTCATACCGTCAATGTAAACATTCATACTGTAATATATGAATGTTCACATCACTAAGTCGCTAAGCGTTTAAAAAATATTTGTAAGGGTAAAATTGTTCATAAAATATCTCAAATATGAGAATTAGTATTTGGTGGATCAAATGTCTAAATAATAAAACTTATTGGAATACAAGAATATGTTATAAACTAATGGAATACAAGTACTTAAAAAAGGATTTCCTAATAAATCTCTTGTATTAAATTTCCATTCCTAGTGTAATTAAAAAATATTATTTAAAATATTCTTCATATTTTTGTGCGTTTTTACTCCAAATTTTAATTTTATGTAATTTTTCCATTTTTGATAAGATTTTTTTTCCATTATATGCATAATATTAAAAAATAATGTGATAAAAGGCAAACTGTGGGAGCCATGGCAAGTGGTAGGGTTGGAGGTGGGGGGCAGGCGGCAGCAAAATGGTTTTGGCAGTGTTTGGCAATGGCAGCAAGCAGTAAGAATGTTATGTATTGTGGGAAGAGGTGGACTGAGGGTCTAAGGGGAGGATATGACATTTTGTTGGTGATACAATTACAAACAATTATCAACGGCTGTCACCATAGACTGGTGCAGGTGCTCAAAAACTCAAGGCAAACTGTTCAATGAAAGGAATGGAGATTTTAGCAGCACCAGGATTAATTTCTGGTAGCACAGGCAATATAGCCCATATTGGAAAATAAATGGATTTTTACTTCAAATGAATTTTTATTTATTTTTTTATTTTTTATTTTATTTTATTTTTTTTTTAAAATTCAATCATGCAACTCCGCCGGAGTTGTTAACAACTCCGCCGGTCCCAAGCCCAGGTTAAGGAGGAGGGTTGTGTGTTAGGTAGCCGACAGCCAACACGTAAAAAGCCGCTCGGATCCCTTATGAAAATGAATCCTACTTTGAATCATTTAAATGCTAGGTCGTTCCCCTCAAGTGACGCGTTGCGCCTGCCTCCGGGTGTTTCGAAAAGTGAGCAAGAGGCGCCGCATCGACGCATGGGTGCGATGAAAAATGGGCAAAGATTTCCGCGTTTTTCTGGACGAATGCGGGTAAAGAAGCTAGTCCATGACTATAGGTTTAGGGTAGCAACTTGGAACATAGGAACCTTAACTGGTAGGACGATGGAATTGGTAGATGTTATGATTAGGAGAAGAGTTAGTATAGCTTGCATACAAGAAACTAAGTGGACGGGAGAAAAAGCTAAGAAAATTGAGGATACTGGTTTTAAACTTTATTATAGTGGTAAGGATAGACGCAGGAATGAGGTAAGAATCATAATTGCCAAGGGTCTTGTGAAAAGTGTGGTGGCGGTCACTAGGAAAGGAGATAGGATTATGCTAGTTAAACTAGTTATTGGAGGGAATATAGTGAACATTATTAGCGCTTATGCCCTTCAAGTAGGATTAGATGATCAGACTAAGAGGGATTTTTGGGAGCAAATGGATGAGATCTTACAGGAGATACCCGTAGGAGAGAACCTGGTTATAGGTGGAGATTTTAATGGCCATGTGGGCATAGATAAAGTAGGTTATGAAAGGGTGCATGGTGGATACGGTTTTGGTGACAGAAATGAGGCTGGAGAGAGAATCTTAGATTTTGCGTTGGCTTCTAACCTGGTGGTGGCCAATACTATGTATAAGAAGAGGGAGGAGCATTTGATAACCTTTAAGAGTGGATTAGTTAAGAGCCAAATAGATTATTTCTTAGTGAGAAAAGTGGACTGCCTAAAATGCAATGATTGTAAGGTGATTCCTGGAAAGAGTCTCTGGTCTCTCAACATAGGATTTTGGTACTAGATTTATGTTTAGAGGGCAACACCAAGCTAGGAAGGATGGTGGGCGTCGTAGCGATGAGATGTGGGACTAAAAGGGGATAAACTTAGAAATATTTAAGAATCGAATGGATAAGGAAGGTACTTGGGACTTCAGAAAGGTGATGCATAACACTATGTGGAATTCAATGGCCAATTGTATGAGGAGAATCTCAAGGAAGTTCTTGCGAGAGTCGAAAGGAACGAGACCCAGCTCTAAGGAAACTTGGTGGTGGAGGGAAGAGATTCAAGCGGGTAGTTAAGGCAAAAAAGAGTGCTTTTAAAAAGTGGCAGAAGGATAGACTGAGCAACAACTTTAAGAGCTATAGATTGGCTAATAAGGAGGTCAAAGAGTAGTGAGAGAGGCTAAGTTGAAAGCTTATGATGACCTATACACTAGACTAGATAGTAAGCGAGGGAGAGAAGAGGGTATTACAACTTGCTAAGATACGGGAGAGAAAACAAGAGATTTTAATCAAGTAAAGTGCATCAAGATGGGAGGATTCTAAGGTATTGGTGAACGATGAGAGATTAAGGAAAGATAGAAGAATTATTTTGAGAAACTGTTAAATGAGGAACATGGAAGTATGACAATAGGGGCAGAAATAGCCACTAATACGATAAACCAAGACTATAGGTTCTATCGCAGGATTAGGAACTTTGAAGTAGAGATTGCACTTAAGAAGATGAAATCAAATAAGGCATTAGGACCCGATGATATCCCTATTGAAGGTTGGAAGTGTTTGGGTAAAAAAAGAGTTGCTTGGTTGACTAGGTTGTTTAGCAAAATTTTGTTGACTAGGAACATGCCAGATGAGTGGAGGAAGAGTTTTTTAGTGCCAATCTATAAAAATAAAGGTGATGTCCAGAATTGTAACAACTATAGAGGAATCAAACTAATGTGTCATATAATGAAAGTGTGGGAGAGGGTGATGGAACGCTGATTGCGAGACATTACAGAGGTGTCAGAGATCAATTTGGGTTTATACCCGGTAGGTCAACAATGGAAGCGATCTATCTTTTGAGGAGAGTAATAGAAAAGTATGAGGAAAAGAAAAGAGACATTCATATGGTGTTTATCGACCTTAAGAAAGCATATGACGAGTGCCCGCGAGATATAATATGGTGGGTGTTAGAGAAGAAAGGAGTGACAAAAGGCTACATTGACGTGATTAGGGACATGTATGAAGGGGGGGTGACACTCATTAGATCGCCAGCTGGAGAGACAAATGAATTTCCTATCACTGTAGGGTTACACCAAGGATCTACCTTAAATGCTCTCTCAAACAAACAACTAACGGAG